CCTAAAACTGACTGGAATGGAACAGGAGCTCACTTCTCTCAGGAATTAACTGTTTTCTGGCTCAGACAGCTCTCCAGAAGCAGCGTGTAGACAGGACAGAAACCAGATGGGTCATCAACCACCAGACTCTGACCAGCTTAGAGGAAGTGAGAGGTGTCAGCCCCACAGCAAGAGAGACAAGCCACAGCAGATCTGATTAGCAAGCCTCCATCACTGGGGTGTGGATCCGAGTCCCAGGCCCAAGCATTTAGTAAAGGACAAAAAAGAAACAGAAGGTGGAAGAACAGGGAAAGGGGAGAGATGGAGGGAGACAATCTAACTCTGTCCTTCACCTTCTGAAAAATTCCTTGCTGACCCAAGATACCAGGTTAGCATCTAAGAAACCAGGATAAAGACAAGACATGGGATTAGAGAAATCACAGCTGGAGAGGCGGAGGACGCCTTAGAAACCCTGTTCACCTACTGCAGAGAACTGTGAAGGGAAAGGGAGTGGGAGTGCCCAGGGAGTCTGGACTCAACTCAGCCCTGTGCTTACGCCCTGCAAGTATCACTTGCACCTACTGAGCCTGGGCAAGGGGACAAGGGGACCTGGGAACGGGAGATGGGGGGGGGCGGTGAGGGCAGTGGTTGTGTCTCTAAAGCCCCTTCGCTCTGCCTATCATTCAACATGGCAATTTCTCTACCACATGACCATGAACAACCTCCCAAGCAGCACAGAGCGAGAGAGAGACAGCTTCTCCTGAGGTCTTTTCTCCTTTCCGACCATACCACAAAGAAAACAGACAGCAGACAGACCTGGCAAACATACTTACCACAGGAGTTTGTCCGAATGAGCTTGCCTTGGCAGAGTCCTGGCAGAGGCTGAGCCCTGACGGGCTGCCCGAATTGAAAAACCAATGCCATGTGCAGGCATAAACTCCAAAGGCACTTCAGAGAACAGAGAGAGCCTCCATGAGAGCCCAGCCCCGGCAGTACCTCGCACAGCCGTCCTCCCGTGCCTTCCTCAGCAGTTTTCTGAGTTTGCTTGTTAGGGCAAATCCTAAGATTGTGAGTTGCCCTGGAAGCACAATGGGTTATGTAACTCCAGGCAGCCTGGGAACCCTATCAGCTCATCTTGTTAAGCCACCCCAAACAGAAAATGACGCACCCAAAAATGTGATACCTCTAGGTTGGGGGTAGGGGAGAACGGGGCTTTGTGACGGGCATTCCGTTTTGCCTAAAAATTAAAGTGGAACAAAAAGTCTGCTGTTCATCTCAGGGCTTGCTGGGAACTGGGGGAGGAGTGAATTTATCAAGGGCTGAATGCCAAGCGGTGTCCTGAGACTGCACTTGGCAAAGCCCTGGGAGGCCACAGATGCATTCTTGGGGATAGTCTAGGTCTCTCGGAGAACTTTTTTCCATTTAATGTCTTCCTTTCAATGACTGCCTAATAAAACTTTAATCTGAGCAGTTCTCCGTCACCTGACAGCCCATCCCTTAAACGCAGAAGAGTGTCTGTGTTTACACTCCTGTTTACCAAGCCAGTGCGAAACACAACAGCACTGAGCTGTTTCTCAGCTTTCCTCTGGTCCCAACAAAGAACCCTCAAGTCACCACATCCTATAGGGTTTGAAGTTTCAGCACTACATTCTGCCACTTCTTTGTTTTTGGGTTTTTTTGTTTTGTTTTGTTTGTTTTGCTTTGTTTTCTTGAGACAGAGTCTCACTCTGTCACTGAGGCTAGAGTGCAGTGGTGCTGTGTCGGCTCACTGCAACCTCTGTCTGCTGGGTTCAAGCAATTCTCCTGCCTCAGCCTCCCGAGTAGCGGGGATCACAGGCGTGTGATCAAGACCACCACGTCTGGCTAGTTTTTATATTTTTGGTAGAGATGGGGTTTCACAATGTTGGCCAGGCTGGTCTTGAACTCCTGACCTCAGGCGATCGGCCCACCTCGGCCTCCCAAAGTGCTGGGATTAAGACGTGAGCCACCACACCAGGCTATGAAGTTTCAGCACTACATCCTGCCATTTCTTTACCCTCCATTGTCACGTTCGGAGAAAGTGAAACCACTTTAACAGGCTGGATACTTCCTGGATTTCACTGGTACAGACGCCACTAGAATCCCATGGATCAGTTCATGTGTTTGCACAAATGTAGAAGCAGTTGGGTCATTGCCTCCTCCACAAAGCCCTCGTGGTCTTCTCCTGTCCTTTCCCCTCCAAGGTTCAGCCTGGCACCCTCCTTGGTACCCTCCTGTGCTGTGCTTATCACTGTGCTAACCTCGGTGTACGGTCAGTTTCTACTCACTCATCTCTCTCCCCAGCTAGACTGCATTCTTAGGCAGCAAAGAACCCCTGCCCTGGGGTCCTGCAGACCCAGATGCAACTCCTGCCACTCAGGAGTTCCGCCAAGGCGCTGAACACTGCGAGATCTAGACTCTTCACCTACACAAAGAGGATAATAATACCCACTGCACAAATCGACACAATTGATATACCCAACAAATGTTCACTGAGCACTGGCCACAGGCAGGCACTATGGTAGTCACTGGATTCAGGAGTGTGCAAAGCAGACACAGAGTTTGCCCTCTGCAAGTTTACAGTCTACTGCAAGTTTGGGAGACAAAACACAAATATAGTAGCTCAGAGGATGGTTAAGTCTGGGGAAAAAAATTAAGCAGGAAAGGGAGATGGGGAAAGGTGGGGTAGATCACTCTTTATGTTGGGGGGAGGGTCACAAAAAGCATCAAATAAAATGTCACTTGGAGACGGAAGAGGGGGTCATGAGGATATCTGGAGTTGAGGCAGCCCAAAGACCCTGAGACTGGATGTGCCTGGTGAGTTCAAGGTGAAGTGAGGCGGCCAGTGTGTCTGGAGCACAGAGGGCACAGAGGAGGCAGGTCAGTGGGGCAAAGAGGGATTCCCATCATTCAGCCCCTTCATACCGGTCTCTATAGGAGGGGAGCTCACTGTAAGTTTGGAGGAGAGTTAAACCATCTGACTGCATTAAAAGCCAACTCTCATGGCTGGGCGGAGAAAGAATTTTATGGAGGCAAGGGTAGCAGTAGGAGGCCCCACTGGGAGGCCAGTGTAGTCACCAAGGTGTGAGATGGGGGCGGCTGGGACACAGTAAATGCTGAGTAGATTCTGGACACACTCTGAAGACAGAGCCAACAGAATTCCTGACAACCTGGGGTATGAATCGCAGAAAGGCAGAATCACAAATGCCTCCAAGGGTCTCGGCCTGAGCAACTAGAATAATGAAAGCACCACTTACAAGGATGGGGAAAACCCTAAGAAAAGCAAGTGGAGGTGCAAACCCGGAGCTCATTTTTGGTCACTTGAGTTGGACATGCCTGTTGGACATCTAACTGGAAACTTATGTGGAGTCAGTCTGAGACGTCTGGCCTTAAGGAGAAAGGTCCAGGTTGAGTACAGAAACCAGCGAGTGGCCAGTACAGAAGGCGATTTTAAAACCTACGTGCTGGGTGAGATCATGTGCTGCATGGGTGCGCACATAAGAGCAAAGAGGCGGAAAGGCTGGGCCCTGGGCCTTTCAACGTTCCCAGGCTTGGGAGAAGAGGAAACACAGCCACTGAGGCAGAAGAACAGGGAGAGTGTGGGGACCCAGAAGCAAAGTAAAGACTGTACTTCCAGGAGACAGGACTTGGCAACAGTGTGAACTACCGCTGAAAAGTGAAGTAAGGTGAAGGCAGAGGATGGACTGGACTGAACCAGGTTGTCAGTATGGTGGGGCATAAGCCTGCCTGCAGTGCACTCCAGAGAGAACAAAAGAAAAACCAGAGTAAGCAAAAAGTAGAGCAGAGACACTGGCCTGCGGGAAACATGGGACTGAGAAGGATTCTATTTCCGAAGAGGGAGATCATAGCATGTTTCTGCACTAAAAAGAAAGACCCAAGTGCAAGGGGAAAAGAATGATGCAGTAGAGGAAAAGGAGATATCGGAACTGTGTCCTTCAGGGGGCAGGCAAGCGGGAGAGGGACTCAGTCACAAGTGGAGGACAACTCGTGTGGGCCACTTGACAAAAAGGGAGAGGAGGTGTTTGGGGGCCTAACACAGGAGGAGCTAGGCACCAGGCTGGGACTCCCAGCCTTCTCTGTGCCTTTCTGTATCCAGGGAACCCCTGACACACAGGAGGTCCTCAAGGCTTAACTGGTAACACAGAACCAAGAGAAGCTACTGGAAGCCAACTTGCATATATTAAGCTGTCATTAGGCATTACTTCAAACAGACAAACAAAAGCAAACACTGCAGACAAAAATGAGAAACTGAGCAAACTTCTATATGAAAGCCACTGGATTGAATTACAATTTTGCTACTGGCTGCTGTTATGCACACCATGCTACACCATTTCCACTGACAGCCCTCTCTTGTGCCAGCTCCAAGCACTTGTCTCAATGTTTCCTTGGGGAAAATAAAAAAGCAATAGCTCTAGTATTAAGTGCCCGCACAGCAGATGTTCCCACTGGGAGATGATTACCACCTGGGACACTGAGAGTTATGACTGACATGGGTTATCTGTAAAAATCCATGTCTGTGCAAATCCTGATGGTGTACAAAGGGCACTCCATGAAGTTTTCTGTTTTTGCATCCCACAATGACAGTGCATGTTATTCCCAGTATATCTGTTTTATATCTGAAGAACCTGAGTCCAAAGAGAGAAGGAAAGGTTCAATCTACACTGAGCGCCTGTGATGAGCCATGCTTGCTGCTCAGGTTTCAATGTTACCATCTTTAACCTTCATGACAACTCAGTGAAGTGCGGTCTACATCTCAGTCAGGATAGCAGGTCAACAACTGACCCAAGTTACAAAATGGTTCACTGGCAGAACAGGTTCTGGATGGGAGGTCTCACAATCCCAAAGCTCAGAGTCTTTTGCACTTTAGTGGTTCCTCTCTGCATACCTCCCCGAGACCCTCCCAAGTGGCTGCATTCCTTCCCTAGTCCTCAGTGACTGAAACCTCCCTCCCTTCCTCCCTGGCAGGGAAAGGACCCCCATACCAGTAATGGTGCAGGCATCCCGGTACCCTCTGTAGCTGGGAGCATCTTCCACAGCCTCGCTTATGTAGTGTTCCTCAGGGATGCCCAGGCTGCAGGCTAGGACTGCATGGTTGCATGCCTCCGAAGGGGGCACGGAGTTGGCCAAAGTGTCGTCGTGCAGAGCTGTGGCGTCCAGCTTGGCAGGTTTCACGGGGAGGTGCCCACTGCCATCGGGGGCCCCACTGCCAGAGTCTGGGGCAGTTGGGCAGATGACCCCCGGTAGTTCTGGTGCACCAGCAGGGGCTCCTTACAGGGAATCTATGGGACAATTGAGAGAGAGGGGCACAGTTAGAGTCTATCGATAAACCTGGACAAATGTTTAGAAAATAAGGGCCCAGGAATGACGTGCATTCAGACTGCGAATTCTGAAAAGTATTTCCCTCAAGTCATGGCATCTCCAATCACACTGCTTAGTTTCAATAAAATAATTGCAGCAAAGTTCCATTCAACTAATCAATACTGACCAAAATGTGGAGCACACGGCTTCATCTGCTTATTGAAACCTGCCTTGAAGCAGCTCTAAGCAAATAAACACACTGGAGCACAGCTAAAACCTGTATTCCTACAGGATTTATACACACAAAGAGAGGTAACATTTTTATTTGTATAAATTCTTTCAACCACAGTAACTTCTCAACTCTCTAAGAACTTTAAGGTATGCCCCTACCTTAACCTACAGTGAGAAATTAGGGGACTCCTTTAAGAACCTGATGAAAACGGCCGGACACAGTGACTCACTCCTGTAATCCCAGCACCTTGAGAGGCTCAGGTGGGCGGCTCATTTGAGGTCAGGAGTTTGAGACCAACCTGGCCAATATGGTGAAACCTCATCTCCACTAAAAATACAAAAAAAAAAAAAAAAAAAAAATTAGGTATGGTAGCAGGCACCTGTAATCCCAGTTACTCAGGAGGTTGAGGCAGGAGAATTGCTTGAACCCGGGAAGCAGAGGTTGCAGTGAGCCGAGATCACGCCACTGCGCTCCAGCCTGGGCAACACAGGGAGATTCTGTCTCAAAAAAATGAATAAATAAAAAAGAAAGAAAAGAAATGAAAAAGAAGAATCTGATGAAAACTAAAGACTCGTCCCCATTTAAAATCTGACTGGGACTAAAGATAACTGCTGAGAAAATACGGCACATGACGCAGACTGCTAAACACTCTGCTCTGTTCGGGCAACAGCACACCTACATGCAGGCCACTTCCCACACATTTCAGGAGCACCGCTGCCTCACCTCCCAGCGCACCTGCACACACACCACATGTGTACACACAAAATGTCAAACAGGAGCTTAATGAAAAAGGAAACTTACAAAACATTCCTCAGCACAAGAGATCTCAAATTGTGGTCTGAGAATCCCTGGAGTTTCCTGAGACTGGTTCAGAGGGTCTCTCACTTTTTCGTGGAGCTACGGTGGCATTTTCCAGAGACTACATTATGTGTGATGACGCCATTGCTCTGAAAGCTAATTAATGGAACTTTCATATCCCTGTGGTTTTACATCTTATGTTTCTAACACAATACATATGAATCAATAGAACCATTTAAATAAAAATGCTTTAGGAGGCCCAATAACTTTGAGGCATCCTGAGACCACACACAAAAAAAGTGTGAGAACCACTGCTCTAATAAATGATGCATTATCGTTTGTTTAAAAAACACATACACACAAAAAGAGAAAGTTAATAGACATTTCACTCAACATGTACAGTCAGTTCTGAGAGAAAACTACAGCCCTGAATCTGTGACATTTTTCCCAACAAGTTTATTTACCAAAATACACCAGGAATTCCTATTACAGGCTGAGTATCCCTTATCTGAAATGTTTGGGAACAGAAGTGTTTCAAATTTTGGATTTTTGGCTGGGCGTGGTGGCTCACACCTGTAATCCCAGCACTTTGGGAGGCCAAGGCAGGCAGATCACTTGAGGTCAGGAGTTTGAGGCCAGCCTGGAAAACATCATGAAACCCCATCTCTGCTAAAAAATACAAAAAGTAGCTGGTCATCATGGCACACGCCTGCAAACCCAGCTACTTGGAAGGCTGAGGCAGGAGAATCACTTGAAACCGGGAGGCGGAGCTTGCAGTGAGCCAAGATCACGTCACTGCACTCCAGCCTGGGCAACAGAGCAAGACTCTGTCTCAAAAAGAAAAAAAAATTTTGATTTCTTTCGGATTTTGGGATATTTGCCTTATACTTACCAAGTGACCATCCAAAATCCAAAAATCTGAAATCTGAAATGCTCCAATGAGCATTTCCTTTGAGTGTCATGTAAACACTCGAAAAGTTTCAAATTTCAGATTTTCACATTAGACATACTCAGCCTGTATAAATGAACTCAGCCCAGGCAATAAACTTCCTGCCCTCATTAACATGAAAAAATAAATATGAAAATGGGAAGGATGGGTAGGAGAGTCTGTGTATCCCTGGTGAGAAAAGAAAGTTAAAAAGAATTATTTAGGAATTTCTGCAAAACAACATGTACATAAAACTGGATTGGCATGAAGAAAAAAAAAAGAAAAAGAACACTGGATTGTCACACCTGGTCAGTGACTCAAACACAGATGAACAGATAAGCTGCCTCACTAGAAAAGCCTATAATCCTCAAGCAGAACCCAGAACATTCTAGACAGCAGAGGGCTGAGCAGGGTGGACTAGAAGACCCCCAAGAGTCACCAATGGTGGTCAAGGGTCCAGGACGGGATTTCACTGGCTGAAGCTAAGGGAAGCTGGGCACTGCCACAACCCACCCCCAGTGGGTCCCAAGGGGGCTTCTCCATGCTGGTCAAGTTGTGATTCTTGGTCTGGAGACTGACTTGCAGACTAGAATCAGTGCATGAAACTCCATCAAGCTGCACTCTTTACAATTCATACACTATTTTTACACTTTTAAAAAAATATGGAGTCTTACTATGTTGCCCAGGTTGTTCTCCTGGGTTTAAGTGATCCTCCTGCCTGAGCCTCCCAAGTAGCTGGGATTACAGGTGTATACCACCAAGCCCAGCTCTCATACACTTTCTTTGTATGTCTACTTCAATTAAGTGATAAAAAGGTTAGTGAATGCAGATACCGAATCTAAAAATCAGCTTGAGAAGTCATCCCTAAACCAAGAAGATACAAAGGCATATTGATGAGAGTTCCAGAAAAACTGAAAAAAGCTTAAGACAAAAAGAGTAAAGTATATAAAAACACCAACTTTAAAATGCTTTTCTAGAGGTGAAGATGTACACCTTTAAATCAAAAGGTTCTACACCAAGACCCAGACAAAATCAATGAAAAACTAATAATAAACTCCTGGATATAATCTAGTAAAAATTTTAAATTCCAAAGATTTAGATAAAAATATGACAAACATTAAAAAGGTATCCCCACATGCCCACCAGTGGGATAATTCCTCAGAATTTATTTATTTATTTATTTTTATTTTTTATTTTTTATTTTTTAAAGACAGGGTCTCATTCCCATCATCTAGGCTGGCGTGCAGTGGCACAATCACAGCTCACTGCAGCCTTGACTTCCTGGGCTCAGGTGATCCTCCCACCTTAGCCTGTAGCTGAGACTAGAGGCGCGCACCACCACACCTGGCTAATTTTTATATTTTTAGTAGAGATGAGGTTTCGCCATGTTGCCCATGCTGGTCTGGAACTATGGACTCAAGTGATCCACCTGCCTCGGCCTCCCAAAGTGCTAGGATTACAGGTGTGAGCCATAGCACCCGGCCAGTTCCTCAGAAACTTAAGTGAAAGATAGTCACGTAAGACTTTGATACCCAATTAAGCTACTGTTATACACAAAAACAATTGGCAGATATTGAGAAACTCAAAGACTCTGACGTTCCTGAGGGGCTCCGAGTCTGCTGATGACACCTCATGGGCTCTCACTAACACAGGTCACCATAAAGAACTCAAAAGGTGAGGAACACATGGTAAAGTAAAACTGGCGGGGAAATTAAACCAGGAACACTTAAAATCAACATGTAAATAATGCACTTCATTCACAGACCTAAAGCAGACATAGCTCAAAAGAAAAATGGGCAAAGGATATAAAAATTCCCTCCCCCTGCCAAAACATAACACACACACACAGTTTAAGGAAACTTAACAGTGATTTTAAAAAACAACAACAAAGACTTAAAAAATATAATGATGCTCAAGTTCACAACTGATTTAGGAAACTTATAGACTTATGTATTATTGGAGTGAGGTGAGGAGTATAAATTTGGAAGAACAGCCCGAAAAAATTTACTTTGGTTCTTCGGCTCAAGTATATATAGGTCAAAGATGTATGGCACAATGAAATGCTACAAACAACCTAACAAGCCACAGCAGAGGATCGAGTCATTAATTATGGGACAGCTATCAAGAAGTCAACCATGCTGCCATGAAGAGGAAGTGTCAGAGCACATATTAATTTATCAACACAGAAAGATGCGGTAGGCAGAAAAACAGTAGATAGTGAATGTGGTCTTGGAAAGGTTTTAAAATGCATTAACAAATTGAACCCTCGTTCAAGCCTTCTTTAACCTGTACTTAGACATCTTCTATCTGATCCATACACAGAAGTTTGAAATACTTTCTCCCTTTGCAAAATACAATTGTTCTTCTGAAAACTAATTTAAATCAATATGGTTTGGTTTTGTTTTTACAAAGGCTCTAATATGTCAAGATTTCCCTCTCTCTCTCTCTTTTCTTTTTTTTTTTTTTGAGACAGCTTTTGTGCTCTGTCTCCCAGGCTGGAGTGCAGTGGCGCAATCTCAGCTCACTGAAGGCTCAGCCTGCTAGGCTCAAGCAATTCTCCTGCCTCAGTCTCCCAAGTAGCTGTGATTACAGGCATGCACCACCACGCCCATCTAATTTTTGTATTTTAGTAGAAGAAGATGGGGTTTCACCATGTTGGCCAGGCTGGTCTCAAACCCTTGGCCTCAAGTGATCCACCCACCTCAGCCTCCCGAAGTGCTGGGATTACAGGCATGAGCCGCAGGGCCTGGCCCTAATGTGTAAAGATTTCTTAAAGAGGTTTTACAGTCAAGCTTTACATAACTTTTGCTTTCATAACTTTTTATTATAACAAGCTTTTTATAACTTACCTATAAACAAGCTTTTTATAACTTACCTTTATGACATATAGGTATATATAACATGTTTATAAATAACATATAACACATATATATAACATGCTATAAAGTTACATATACCTTTATAACTTTATAACAAGCTTTTTATAACTTACCTATAAAATGAGGGAGATGGCCTAAATCATG